CCGACCAATACACAATGCCCCGCATCGATGATGCCTTGGATTCTTTATCAGGCAGCCAGTGGTTCTCAGTACTAGACCTGCATAGTGGTTATTATCAGATAGAGATGGCTCTTGAAGATAAAGAAAAAACTGCATTCATTTGCCCCCTTGGGTTTTATCAATTTGAACGCATGACACAAGGAATAACAGGAGCGCCCGCAAGATTTCAGCGCTTAATGGAGAAAGCTGTTGGAGATATGCATCTTCTTGAAGCTCTTGTGTACTTGGATGACATAATCATTTTTGGGAAAATCCTTGAAGCGCATGAGCAGCGTCTACTGAAAGTATTGGATCGACTGGAAGAGGTTGGTTTAAAGGTTTCTATTGACAAATGTCAATTCTGTCAGCCTGAGGTGAAGTACAGTATGTGGGACACATTGTTTCTGCTAGTGGAATAGCTACTGATCCAGACAAAGTGGAGGTGGTAAAACACTAGAAAGAACCCACTCACCTGAAACCGTTGAGGTCCTTCCTCGGATTCAGCAGTTATTATCGGCGATTTATTGCAAATTATTCTGCTATTGTTCGTCCCCTCTCTGAGCTAACAAAGGGTTATGCTCCCACATTGCAAGATCTCAAGTGCAGAAAGAGTGTTGGACAAAGTAACGTCTATTTCAAGCCATCAGAACCATTTGGAGAACGTTGGACTCAAGCCGCCTGCCAGCAGGCGTTTGAGCAGATACGCGACTGTTTGATCAATGCCCCTGTGTTGGCATTTGCTGGCCCTACAAAGACATATATCTTACATGTGGACGCCAGTATGAATGGACTGGGTGCTGTCCTGAACCAGGAGTATCCTGAAGGGCTAAGACGCAAGCTTAAAGATTCAGAACACAATTATCCAGTCCATCAACTGGAATTTCTGGCATTAAAATGGGCTGTTGTAGACAAGTTCCATGATTACTTGTATGGAGCTAAATTCATTGTTAGAACTGACAACAACCCATTGACTTATGTGTTGACCTCTGCTAAACTCTGGACATCGTTGGCTCACTGCCCTTTCCACCTATGATTTCACCATCCAGTATCGTCCTGGGAGGCACAACATCGATGCAGATTTGTTGTCTCGACAGTAAACAACTGAGGAGATCAAAGAGTGGAATAGTATTCCATCTGCTGGCATCAAAGCTTTTTGCAAGTAAGCTTGCATGATTGAAAAGGTAGATGTGCCTGACAGGTTGGTAGATCAGCTGGGAGCTCCTGCTGCAGCTGTGCCAGAAGCCTACATGTTCCCACTGAACCTCAGCCTTAACACCATTGAGCTGCTGAGTCTGCAAGACATCCGGGCGTCACAAGATATGGACCCAACAATTGGACCAGTAAAGAAAGCGCTGGAAAATAATAAAGAACTGACGCACTCAAAAAATGACTCACCTGAAACTCTGTTGCTTCTACGTGAAAGACACGAGTTGGAGTTAAAGAATGGATTACTCTACCGGGAAAAAGAAAAGATGTGTGGAAAACAAATCAAACAACTTGTATTACCAGCAAGATATCATTCAATGGTGTTGAGATCTCTACATTATGAATGTGGTCACATGGGAGTAGAGTGCACCGTTGAACTGGTCAAAGAAAGATTCTATTGGCCACGGATGGCAGCTGAGGTTGAGCAGTACATTCAAACCTGTGGTAGATGCATCGCCAGGAAGACGCTCCCTCATCATACCTTTCCTTTGAATCAAATAACAAGCAATGGCCCTGTGGATTTAGTTTGTATTGACTTTTTGTAAATAGAGCCAGACTCTAAAGGTGTAGCAAATGTGTTAGTTGTGACAGAACATTACACAGATTACTGTTTATTCAATGATGATTATAAAATTCATGTCTGTGAGTGCTTATGAAATATTTGAGCAAGTAGATGCTTCACTTTGTCTTGTGATTCAGTCAGGAGACCACCCTGCCTTGTGATTCAGTCATGGAGCATCCTGTCTTATGACCTGATCAACTGTTCTGTCAGAACAATACTCTGTTTGTAACCATGTGTTATGTTCTGTTAATAAAAGACTTACTGTGAATTTCAGTTTTTCTTTTACAAACCTACATTTTTGAACCCAACATTTTTGGTGCCGAAACCCGGGAGTCAAGATCCAATTGTCCAGGACAGTGTGGGACCAAGGCCAAGAATCTGTTGACAGCTGTCCCCCCTTCGCCGGACGGGGCCAGTTTGGTCCAGCCCTGCCCTGGGCATCCTGGTGACAACTCCCTGAGGACTGATCTACATGACAAAGGGTAGGCCTAAAGATTTTGATCAAAAGTTGGTCTGGGACCATTTAAGTTACAGCTGTAATCGCAAGAATATTTAACGAGACCAAGTCTTGTTGACAGATATGGCATCTAAGTATTCTGTGCGTTTGAGTTTGGGACTCTGTGTTGTTCTCGAGATAGTAAGGTTTACAGCTGCCGCAGCAGGGATGTTTGACGAAACCAAGTTTTGTTAACAGAAATGGCATCTGGGTATTCGGTGTGTGCGAGGGCCTGTGCGTGCAGAGTCTGGGGCTCCAAAGTGTACACATAAAAATAGGAGTTTTGCGTCTATATTGGTTAAAACATATATTAAAATAGGAGTGACTGTGTGAAAGTGTGTGAGGAAACAATCGAACCTTTCAGGTTGTTTCATACCCAAAACAGCAGGGGTTTAATACAGTACAGCTCTTGTGGATGCAGAGGCAAGAATTTCTCACCTGAAAAGGTAGAAGCAGAAATTACCTCAACAGTTTTTGTGGCTATTTTCCTGCTGAATAAACATGCAGTGCGTAGAATACCCTAGGTGTTTGTACTGGACTAAATTCTTAGAAATTGGTAAAGGTCAAAGTAAAGTCAGGGATAATTTAAAATCTACGATTAGAAGTTTGTAGAAGCGCAGGATCCAACAAAAAATAAAACACTTGAATATATGGTTTAAAAAAATATGGGTTTGAGGGACGCCTCTATTCCAAAATAATAAAATAATAGAACTTAAGGATAAAATAATTAAAGAGAGCCAGGGAGGTAAAAGAATTAAAAAGGATGAGTTCAGGAAAGAGTATAGAGAAGATCATAAGGGGTATGGAAATTTTGTGTCAGATTGATCCAAGTAATTTAAAATACTTGTAGAAGTGGAAGGAAAAGTATGAAATAGATGGTGTGTGGAAGTAGATCAATGGAGAAATGTTGTGTGCCGGCTAGAAACAAGCACTAGTGCAAAAATAGATAAATGAAAAAAATTAATAAATAAATACATAGATAAATAAATAAGTAGATAAATAAGTAAATAGTTAAATGAGCTCCAAATAGCGAGTTGTTGATATAATACACTGTAAGACTTTTCACTGTGAATTTACAGTAATTTACTGGCAGCAGCTTCGCCAGTAAACTACTGTATTATTTACAGTATCTTGCTGTAATATATAAATACAGTATATTGCTGTAAATGATTCTACAGGTAATTACTGTAAATTTACAACAGATCGTATATATTCATTTAATGTACATTTACAGTAATTTACAGGCAGCAGCTTTGCCAGTAGACCACTGTATTTTTGCAGTTCTGCTTACAGTACATTAATTCTACAGTTCATTACTGTAATAATACAACTACTAAAAAAGTAATACAATTATTAGAAATAAATTATATAAATAAATGAAAGCTGGAAAATATTCAGTTTCTTTTCAAATATTTATTTGAAAAATAGTGCCTCATGAAAATTACAACATTGTCAAATTGTGTGATCTGAATACTGTAAAGGATGGACAGAAAAACTTTGCTCACACTAAATGTTTTCAATTCTAATGCTAAAACTCTCATACTGGAGCTAAACTTGCTTCTTATACAAATACCCCAGCATTTTCCCTAACACTGTATGCATATTAGGGCTGGGAATCACTAGGTGCCTCTTGCAATATTTTGCAATTCATAAAAAATGAGCAAAACAGTAAAGCAAAGCGCACAGTGCTTCTTCTTAATGTATCATATAAACATTTTAGTCTGCATTATAATCACGAACAATTTAGCATCATAAACTAAACATTAATAACCTTTAAAATTTGTGCCATCATATTTGGCAAGAATATGGAACACTTTTTTAATATTTCAAATGCAGCCGGGGATCAGGACGACTACTCGTTTTCCACAAGTCCACAAAACTTGTTAATATTCCTCCATACTGCTCGTCCAATGTAATCCAAGTGTCCAAAATGGGTAGTGTCCTTAATTTACTAATAACTACGCCATTTAGTATATTTTTAGAGCCTAAATAGAAGTACATTGCATCTCTTGCGCGCACGCCGATGTGCGTTCATGAAACTACGGAAGGCGAGGCAGACGAGATCGCGCAGTCTCTTTTTCTTTCATTATTTGTTTTAAATCAATATCCAACTCCTCTTGTGTTTGTCCTGGTTCGTCTGCAGCTCTGTTGCTCTTAACACAATGTAAACAGTGTATTATCGGCAGCAAAGACTCTGAACGCCGAGGCTTCCGTAGTTTCGTGAATGCGCAGGTGAGCGCTCCGTGGAGTAATATATTCTTTTTAGGCTCTAAAAATAGTCTAAATGACGTCGTTTCGAGTAAATTCTGGACGCTACCCACTCAGGACATTTGGATTACATTGGACAAGCAGTATGGAGAAATATTAACAAGTTTTTGTGGACTTCTAAGGACCTTGTTGGCTCGGGCTCAATCGAACTCCATTATATGAAAGTTGGGGTAAAACGAGAAGTCGTCCTGATCTCCGGCTGCATTTGAAATATTTGCTCACCATGAAGGTAAGTGGAAAATAAAGTTAAATCAATCTGTGGGTGAACTATTCCTTTAACAATATTTTGCAGACTGCACATAGATTTAAGTGCTAATGTGGGGACTTTTCTACATGCTGAACCGTTGCAAATAGAACTAAATCTTGCGAGATCTCACCATGCTCTTACAAAATTTTGTGAGATTTCCTTTGGAAAAATATCAATACAGCATTTTTTTTAATATCAATATGACACCGCAACATATAACATCGTGCATCGTTATTTTGTCATACCCCTAATGTGTATGCGTGTGTATCAGACAAAGTCCCACTTGAAATCACTGATCTTCTCGATGAGTGTGCTGACATGCGGATTCACAGATGTTGACTTCTTCTGGACCATCTTGCCGCTCTTCTTGCTTTTCACCATCTCATGGCTTGCTTTTGTGCCTCTCTCCGGGTTGATGTCAATGCAGTTTCTGTAAAACAACATCGACAAAAATTTTTTTTTTCCTTATGGTTTTATCAGTCTATGAATGTAGCATGTCAACAATATACAATGTAGTGATCCAGTATGTTGAACCACAAAAAGGAGTTTCAGACGTAACATTACTTCAAAGGTAGCATTTGTAGTGTTTGTGGTTGCTATACTTGTGTCAGAGCCTAAGGACCATTGGCTATCACGTCAAGGTTATTGGCTTATGGTGTTGTATGAAGAAAAGTCAATCAAATCAAGCTCTGTGGAACACTATATTTGAAAGAGAAGCTACCTCTGAATGAACTCCAATGTGCATGCTGCTTCATGTTGGTACTGCAGGTCAAAATTGTAGTAGGAGGAGAAGACTACTGCAAGGCCAAGAACAAAGGATGTCCCATCACATAACACCTCTTTCTCGATGCTCAACATCCATCGGTTTGCCTGTGCCATATGACCTAAGAAAAAGACAAGTTGGAAACAATAAACAGAGATCCCAGAAATAATGGAATCAGTCTCGTCTGATTATGTTTCTACGGAAGAGGATTAGGGCTACTGCAGAAGAAAAATAATTCTGAGAAAAAAAGTCAGAATCCTGCATTTTCAGAATTTGAAAAAAAAAAAATCTCTTCAAATGTTCTGAGAAATAAGTCTAAATTCTGACTTTTCTCAGAAATCAAAAAAAGAAAAAAAAAATTTAAAAAATTTTCTTTTTCAAATTTTCTGGAAAAAAAGTCAGATTAAAGTCAGAAATCTTGACTTTTCCCCTCAGAATTCTGAGATTAAAGCCAGAATTCTGGCATTTTTCTCAGATTTTTTTTCTCCAGTGGCCCTAATCGTCTTCCGTATGTTTCTATGATAACACAAAACATATTTAGTAAAGTATGAGCATAGCTATCAATATTTTATTCACATTCAAAGTCAGATATTGTACTTACCAGTCACAATCAAACGTGGTGTGTCAGGCAAGCGTGACTGTCATCTGCACAAGTGCAGGTGTGGCAGACTCCTTTTGACTACATTTTGACTGGCAATGAATGGACTAGGTTTTTTTTTTTACAATAATGGAAAGACTTTAAATCCACCATTAAAAAAAAAAAAAAAACAGAAAACATAACGCTGACTCTTAGTAATTTTGGCCAAGTTTAGCACTTTGCCTGTTTTGTTTCTCTTTTGATGTGGAAACTCAACTGAAATAATTTATAGAGCACTTTAACACAACAGAGGAAACTTATAACATGCTAACTCAGACCTGCCATGTTATTTATCCATTCCCCTGATGTTTTAATGTTAATTTAACATTAAATTGAGAAAAAAGTGAATAATGTGAACTTACTCTGTGAACAGTGTGGAGGACGTTGGGCAGCTCCAGGCATCTGCAGTTGGCTGAGCAGTTTTTCCGAGGACCGATGGAATCCTGTTTTCCCGCACTTTTTCTTTCACCTTCCCATAATGCTTAGCAGTTTACAGTAAAAGTGCAGTAATATTGTAAAAAGAATGACATTCTCTGAAATTGCTGTAATCTTTTTTTTTTCTCCCAGATTGCATTGCAGTTTACAGTATGATACTGTATGGCAGTGATACAGTAAAATACTGTTCAGATTTAACTGTAATTTTACATCAAAGGCTTACAGTGTACATGCGCAAAGTAGATACAATGTTATTATTAAAAATTAAATAAATAGATCTAATGTTGTGTATGTCCATCTTTTAATGTTATTTGCTTCCGTCTTTAAAGTTATGTTTGTGGGTCTTTTAAGTTGTTTGTGAATCTAAAAGATAATGAAACACCGTTTAGAGGGAGACAGCTTGAATCTGCAGCAGCGTGGAGGGTGGTCAATGGAACAGCGACTGCAGCGCTGATTTCAGCTGACAGCCTTCCTAATGCGCCTGCATGGTCTCCAATAACCTTAGGTTCAGAACCAAAAATTAAAAACAAATAACCCGCCAGAAAATTAATATAAGTCATGCAAGCTACATACCGGGAATAGAAAAAATTTAGAGGGGTTAAATAAGTGGATTATGCAAGCTAAAACATAGAAAAAGCTATGAAGTGTAGCTTGGACCATGATTGGGCTCAAGTGAGGGCCAGTGGTCACAGGTGAAAAACAAGGGGTCACGTAGAAAGCACAATAGGTGCTACAATTGTGATAAGGAGGGCCACTTTGCTCGAGAATGTCCAGACCACCGCAGAGTGACCCTCCCCGTCGCCAATATTGTGGTCAGCGCAGACGCCAGGCATCATGTGTACCAGCAAAAAATGCAGTTACTTGTTGTCCCAGTGGAGGTCCTGGACCTACAGCAAATTTTCCTTTCTTTTTAAACACATCAGAAAGCATTTAAACATTCAAGCAGTAAAAGTGGAATTTTTGTGTGACAACGCAGCCAATAAATCTGTCCTGAGGGATGAATTACTTCAGATTAAAGAGGGACCAAAATGGATCACTGTAGTGTCTGCTGATGGGAAAATGGTGGTTCAGCGCATTTCTGAAAAACAATTGGTCACCGATGAAGAGGGATTCACGTCGGAAGCTGATTTTGTATTAAGCCCAGACTATCCAGTTAATTTATTAGGCAGAGATTTGTTAAGGAAATTGCAATTAGTGCTGGTGCCTACAGACAAAGGATTGGGAGTTTAAAAGATTTTATGCTGCAAGGGGAAGTTACACCAGAGCTTGAAGCAGCTGACACACGTGATACATTCAGGCTCATTCCCAAAAGCATTTTATTCCCTGGATCTAACCACCCGGGGGAAAAGATGAACCAAAGGAGGGTTATATAAATTTTTATGTGGATGGGTCAGCTTCCGGAAAGAAATTAGTTGGTTTTGCAATTGTAGAGGTGTATGGAGAATGGGGGATATTAAATGCATTTAAAAAAGAAAAAAACATGAATAGTTCTAGCAATTAATGGACAGGCAGTTAGACTTATATGCGATTCAGGAGCCTGTAATACTTCTTTTAATGATAATGTAAATGCTAAAACCATCTAAAATGCTAATTTTTGTAAAATCAGCAAATGGTCAAACATCCTAGGGATGGATGTCAAGGGCAATAGAAATGGAAGACCTTCAAACAGGAAAAATGTTGAAGGTTGCATGTTTTTGTAGTAATATCACCAACTCACCCTATTAATCTGTTAGGACGAGACTTGATGGAAAATTAGGCATTGCAATTTTTCCCCCCCTGGGGGGAATGAAGGTTACACGAATATTACATGTAATGGCATTGCTACTAAATCCTTCTGTGTTTTATGCAACATGCTTATCATCTCTGCTCCATGTCTATCTGTTCCAACTACGGAAACACCCTTATAAAATTCTGTTCGATGTAAAACCCCAGGTTCAAGATTTAACATGTGTTAAAATAACTCAGCATTTTTTGCTATCACAATTTGATGAAAATGATTTCAAAGATATTCCAAATGCTTTGTGGTCTACAGGAAGAATTGATGTAGGACTGTTGACAACTGTAGATCCAGTTAAAATAGTTCCTAAATAACAATACAGGCCAAGGATAAAACAATATCTGCTAAAATGTGAAGCAAAGGAAAGTATAAAACCAACTATAAAAATTTTCGCGGGTACTGAAACAAGTCTGTTGCTTGGGCCATGTTATTTCAGAACAAGGTAAAAAGCTACAGGAAGAGTGAAAAACTGTAATAGCTAAAGAGCGTAAGCCAGTAATTAAAGAACAAATGTCTTTTTAGAATTGTGCAATTACTGCAGGGCTTAGATTCCACATTATGAAAAAAAAACTCAATTTTTCTTAAGTTTTATTTATGACACACTAGTTGCTATGTGAGATACAATTTAATGGATCCCAGAAGCAGAACAGAAATTCACAAAGCTAAAAGTAGAACTTTTCTCAGCAATTGTCTTAACTCTACAAAATTATCAAAAACCGTTCATCCAAACAGTTGGATGAGTTAAGCAAGTTAAATAAACTCAGGCGCGCTGGAAGCTGTTTCAAGCGAGGGGGGCTGATGGCTGGGTTTGAAAAAACATGACGTCATTATGTTGAGGGCTGTGGCTGACGTTTTTAACATAATATTGTAGGCGTACATTTGTCGCCAAAAACTGCCATTTAAAATGCATCGGAACAAAGCATGAACATTTTAAACTTTATTTCTTCTCTTTTAATCATTCAAAACAAACAACAGCTCCCAATCAACAGGATCAGGAATACTTGAATAAAACATGGCCTAAATATAGCCTAAACTGAGCATTGAACATCTTGAAAGTCCATTCGACTATGGATATGGGGAATGATTTCATATCTGAAACAAAAAACACACACAAAAAAACCAAAAAATTTACTAATTTCATATTTTATCACTAAATAGCTTAATACAGACATAATACTTAGTGATATGCAGCCTTATTCTAGCGTAGACTTCTTCAGCCACAGGACTAAGACGAATAGGCACATAAATAACACTAAATGCGGCAGTATAGGGGAATTAAAACCATTTCTTACCTCGAAATAGTCAGAAATACATTTCTGCTGCCTATTGCTAGCCATGCCTAAACGAATGTGAGGTGGCGGAAGCTTCCGGGGGAGTAGCCTAGTTTTTTATGAAATATTAAAATAATGAATCATTAGTTTACATCTTATATATAGCCCATCATTTTAATCCCATATCAAACACAGTCTTTTAAGAAATAAATACATAATTAATTTCATGTTTTTAAGTACAATATTATGTTACTCCACAGCCCCCCACCATGGGGGGCTGATGCTATGACGAGGGAGGCTGCAGCCCCCACAGCACCCCCCCTTCCCGTGCCACTGAATAAACTCTGTGTTGTTACAGTCTCATGGTGATAAGCTCAAACTTGTAGTGTCCTACTCTTAAGGGATAAAGGGGACCCGTGGAAACAGTAGCTCCCCCATATTCTTATTTTTTACCTTTATTATGTTGTGTAGTTGGATGTGTGTGTGTGTGTGTATGTATATATATATATATATATATATATATATATATATATATATATATATATATATATATATATATATATATATATATATATATATATATATATATATAAAACTGTAACTGGAGCGTGTAACAAAAGTAATTTCCCTCTGGGATTATTAAAGTATTTCTGATTCTGATTGAAAGCAGCAGCTATTTTGAGCCATGAGTTTATCATGTCTCCACAGGAGGGATATTGAGTATAGTACAACAAGTATTTAATCCAACTGCAGGATTAAATAACTACTTTAAAAATTTTTGCAGAGCATGTCTCACATGTTGTAAGTAATGAAGAAGAGGGGGAATATGAAGGGTGGACGCCAGTGGGAAAGGGAGAGGAAGAGGACGGGGAAGAATTAAAATAGAGACAGTAAAGGAAGCAAACGGGATTTAGAGGAAAGTAGTTCAGAGGAAGAGAGGGTAGTTAGGAGAAAAGTTGTGAATAAGGAATTTAGAGTGAGGAAGGTCAGGAGAAAAGCAGAGATGGAAAGCAGAGATGTCCAAAATGTGGGGAAGATCATAAAATTGAAGAATGTAAGGAGGATGTACTGGAGAAATGTTGTAACTGTGGGGGAAATCATAGGGTCACGTACGGAGGATGTGAGGTAAGGAAGAGGGCTAAAGAAATGGTGCAGATTAAAACATCTAAAAATATAAGCTATGCAGAAGCTGTTAAAAGTGTGAAGGAACAGGAAAAAAGAGTGGTTGAGCAAATGGGGAGTCAAACAATACAGCAATCTAAAACACTACCAGAAGATAAGGTCACTTATTCAGTGGAAAATCTAGTCCTATTCATAGCTTATGTTATCAACTGTACTGATCAAGCTAAGAACAAAACTGAGAAGATTAAAATAATAGTGAAAGGAGCTGAAAAATTCTTGGGATTTAATGAAGGAACATGGGAAGAAATAAATAAAAAGCTAGAGGTGGATAAGAAGTCGGGAACAGCAAATGAAAGTAGTTGATGCTAATACTTCAATGGAACGCTAGGAGTTTGATAGCCAATGGACCGGAATTTAAAGGTTTTATTGACGAGCTTGAAGTCCAACCAGATATAATATGTGTGCAGGAAACTTGGTTAAAATCAACATTAGATTTTTTGATTAGGCGATATATTAGTATAAGAAGAGATCGAGAAGAAGGAGGGGGAGGTGGATGCGGAATATTTATAAAACCAGGGATACAATATCAGATCTTAGGAAAAGAACTAGAATTCATAGTAATTGAGGTATGGGAACAAGGAGGTAAATTTAAAATAATAAATTTCTATAATCCTTGTAAATCGTTATTGGCTGAAATAATGGTGGAATTATTAGAGTATTTGGAGGGGAGGGTAATTTGGTGTGGGGATTTCAATGCAAAAAGTACACTATGGGGTAATAGTAATGATAAAAATGGGTAGGTTATAGAAGAAGTGATGGAAATGAAAAATTTAGTATGTATTAACGAGAGAAGGGGAACAAGAATCAATATAAGAACAGGGATGGAGTCAACTATTGATCTAACAATTGTATCAAATGATATCGCTGGTATCTGTAAGTGGTCGGTTGATAAGGAAACCACAGTGGTAGTGATCATCAGTGTTGGGAAAGTTCTCTTTCTACGTGAACTAGTTCAACGTTCAGTTCACACATTTTAAAATTAACTAGTTCAGTT